TCATCATAGCCTATCTATGAAAAGAAGCTAGCACTTATATGAAAAAATTATTTGATACTACTTTTGCTAACAAGGAAGGAGAACACCTGATTAACAATGCTTATTACCAGTCCTTCCTCAATATGCTAGAAAAGCAAGAAGAATCTATCTGCTTAAAGCTAACAACATTATTTGCAGAAATTCTCTAGGATGATATGGGATGTAAAGAAGAAATGTATAAATTAGCTACTAAGACCAGTAAATGTAAATCGAAGGCCATAACCTTAGAAAGATATATGTTTTCATACGATCTAGAAAATGTGTGTAATTTACTAGCCAATTTGCAGAACACATGGCATAGGGTAGTTGGTCTAGAAATTACATGCTATCAAACCTTATCAAAGTTACAGGATGATAAAAAAGATGACTCGTCTGAAGTGGATATAGATGATATCATTGAACTATATTGTTAAGTACTCTTAGCAGGATGTGGCAATTTCAGCTAAGAAACTTGCAATATTATTTATAACTGTATATTTTTTTTATCATACAATAATACTGGCTAACTTCAATTCCTATATTTGATCTGGTCACGAGGTAACCTCTTCCGGCCTGGCTCTTCGATCACATAGTCTAACCTCGGATATGCCCAGGGATGTAAATCACTAGTCTGAATATATTGGTCACTTTTTTTCTATATTTTTTTCCTGACCATGAGCCATATAATTGCAATTAGTAGCAAGGTAAGTATAGAATATATTATCATTGGTATTATTGAGAAACCCGCAATGATAGGGGCAGTTGTTAGTAAAGGCTCGGCTTCTGCGCTACCTACAAAAAATATTTGGGAGGGTAGAGAATTAAGAGCGGAAAGTTATAATTCTTTTGGAACCTGTTTACTTACTCTTTCTTTCGTATTGTTCATAAGGGGAGGCTCATGCTCAACTGAACTTTTTGGGACTACTTCATTATCTTTTTTTAATACTAAAACTCGGAGGTGAGAATTTTCTTCTATCAAATTTGATTGCGCTGAATATAATCTATCTAATTCCCATTTATATATAATATCTGTTGTCTCGATCTCCTTTTCTATATATTCTATTTTGTGTTTTTTTGAATTTAAATTCTCCTTTACCCGTCCCAATTCAAGCCTGAAAGAATTGATTTCGGATAAGTTTATTTGGGCTGGCTTCTCTAGTAAGCCTTCTACTATATTCGAACCTTGGGATATAGGCGGTAGAGAACCCACTCATTCTAGTTCTAGATGCTTTACTTTAGCTTCCAATTTATCTATCTTAG